GGCACAGCAGCGGCAACAGACAGAGGTGATGGCTATATCTAAAATTGCTAAAAATTGTCATCATCTTTTTTCATCCCTACTGAGATATCAGGCAAAACTTATTTACACTAATACCAGCTGATCCACCCAAGCTGAGCTTTTCTTTTCTTTTTAAGTTATTTTTCATCAACAGAATGGTTGTGCCATCGTTTTCTATTCATCGTATTGTATTTGGCAAGCAATGCTGCTATAGATCTGTCTCTCAGATCAGGATATTGTTCCTTAATGACCTGCCACTGTCTGCCAAACTTTTTCACTCCATCCCACAAACATGCTTCTTCTTTTGCAGTAAATGGCTTCTTATCATACCCACTTTTAGAAAACTGAGAAATGTCTACTTCATTGTTCAATATCAGGTTGCGCCATTTGTCTTTTAACTGTACATTTGTTCGTGATTGTAAATCAAATTTTTCCCTAATAACTGCCCACTGGCCTATTCCAAATTGTTCCACACCTTTAATCAGACTCTGTACCTCTGCTGCCATCCATGGCTGCTTTAAACGTATTGAAGATGTAGAGGTGACTGACACATTGCTTGGAGACCTGGGTGGTGCCAGATTTCGGTCCACTCTTGGGCCTTGTCCTAGTTTGCACAGCTTGCTCTCAGCTAAAAATAAACAGCAGTATTTGTAATGCCTTCAATTTCTTTCTACTTTTTTTAAGTCCCCCCAGAACTCAAAATACTTGATTTAAGTTAAAGTATTAAGCATTTTAAATGAAACAATACATATTTAACTTAATTTGAACCCATAATGCCATTGTCATACTACGACATTATTGATGCAGGTACCACAAGAGCAACAAAATATATTAACATCAGAAGGTGAAGAATTGTTGTTAATGTACCATCATAATTTTAAAAATAAAATATAATACTGATAATGTCAATAATGTCATACTATGACATTATTGATGCTGGTACCACAAGAGCAACAAAAATATATTAACATCAGAAGGTGAAGAATTGTTGTTAATGTACCATCATAACTTTAAAAATCAAATATATATCCTTAAAAAAAAAACATTTTGCAAGTGGTGTTTGATAAACAATATAAATCAAGCATCTAACGAAAGTTTGAGGGCAGGCTCTAATAATTCACATTCTCCATACGATCACTCACCTTTTTGCTCTTTTGGGAACAATAATGCCCGAAACTCACCATGGAAAAAAAAAAGGATTGTCAACACAACATGTACTTACGAGTAGTTTCTGCATCTCCAAACTCATTTAGGACTAGCTTGGTTATTTTTGGGGGGCATTTTCTGTAATAAATAGAAATAAATAATAGTTTCAAGTAATTTAAAATCCAAAGTTATATAAGTTATCAAAAATATACTGCCAGTCAGACTACCACTGCAAAACAGTGTATTACCCTGACCACTTATCATAATCACATTTTTGCACATTACAGATACTACTACTACTACTAATAAACAAGTACATCTTTTGTGAAAATATGAGGTAGCATCACAAATGAGAAGCAATTTTTTACCTCTTTTCAGGACTTGGCATTTGGTCCCCTGAAAAAAAATAGCTGACATTTTCAAAGGAGTTATTTTTAAACATAAAAATCTTTGGTCTTATATACTACCTCCTGTGTACTGTACTGTTATTAACCACAGTCACACATCAATCTGTCTTTCAGCGCTTAAAGGCACAATAACTCTTTGTATGAGATCTATATTTCACAATAAAAACATTATAAACAACTCATAGAAATATAATATATTCTGTTTTACCACAAAAACGGCAGTTGTAGCTATTATTCTGATATCTGAACTTGTCATCAGACCACCTCCATAGACGGCTATTCTCTGTAATAATCTCTTAAGAGATTATTACAAAAAAAAAAAAAAAAAAAAAAAAAAAAAAAAAAAAAAAAAAAAAAAAAAAAAAAAAAACAGGGACTAACTTACTTTGAAATGGAAGAAATGGACCCTTGGTAAAATGGAAAAATTGTTGTTAACTCCAGGAAAATTTATTTTTTGGCCAAAACAAACAGTTATTATCCCTTTAACAATTCTTAATTTTCATACCCAGTTTATAGTCAGTAATCTCTGGTTTCACACAAATCCCAGCTCTAGCCTTTCATTCATTTTACTAACTTATATATTTTGTACCTGACAAGCATTATTTCAAAGGAAGCAAGTTTTGAAAAAATTGTGATGATTAGCAGCAAACAACGGCCAACTATATGCACTACTTTACTATCACCACCCTTTTCTTCCACCCCTAAACAACATATATGTCTCACACATACACCTACCACCATTGGATACACCTCCAGGGCCATGTTGTTCAGATGGCCGCTGAAATAAAGATGACATCTTTATTACAAACGTCATTGAATTTGTAATTCCCTTTACTTCATGAAAATATTCCACAGCAACTTTATTTTTACAATGAGAAAAACTGGCAATCTTTCCTAAAAACAGAGAAACATCATTCAGCAGGGAGCAATCTTTCATCCAGAAATAAAAAACTTACAGAGAAAAAACTTTCTTAATTAAGTTCATCATGGTGTTCTGACTACAAAGCACAGTCCTAAATCACTGCACTCAGCTTGTGATCTTCAATTCAAGAGAATAAAAACACACTGAAGACAGAAGGTAGTAATGCAATGTTTCAACATGCAGTTTTCATAAAAATAAAATCAACAACAACCCAAAACTTTCTCACCATGCATTTTCTGATGTCCTCTAGTTTATTCTCTAGTCCTTGTATGACTTTGTTTATAGGATTGCCCTCAGGTTTAAGATAATCTGGTTCAATGACCCTGAAAAACAGTAACAGAACTGACGGATTATCATCCAGAATGATTAAATTGCCTTTTACATTTATAAAGGAAATTGTCAGTTAAAACATGAACAGTGATGATCAAACTTTACTAGGAAATGCTATGCCTATATAATTATGATGTAAATGTAGCATCTGAACATCCAATATTACATTATGTAATCAAGCATGCCAGCAATTAAAAGAATCTGGGATGAGATAAGTGAGAAAAGAATGCTGTAATACACACAGTTTTGGGAAAGAGTTTCCTATAACATCATCATACATTAGCCCATTGAGTGAATGTTGTTAGTGTTAATCATATTTATCACATGAACCTATTATTCAAGTATTGCAAAACATGCATGAATGCATGCACAAATCACTCTTAACAGTACATACACAGTCTGGTATCTTGTCACATCAATGGCCAGGTCAACGGCTGCACTGTTGATTCTCCTTTTCTTAGCAGCAGTTTCACCACCTGCTGCACTATTGACAAGTCCTAGGGAAGAGAAATACTCATCCCTAGTTTCTATATTAGTGTCTGTCTTCCGTTTCTTTGACATTAACTGAGTCCTGGGTGAGTTTACATTGTGATCTTCATCACTTTCAGATGAAGGAAAATACTTCTTTTTGTTTTCAAGAACTTGTTTGGCCATCTAAAAAAAATTGGTGCTTATAATATACTGATAGTGAGGAAAATGAAAAGTATTTTGATTTCAAATGTCCTAAGAATAAATATAGATTTCAGTCACTACAGATTTTGCAAACAATATCCAGAGATTTAAGGTAAATTTATTTGTAGAAAAAACAGCAAAATATTCATTATCAGGCTTAATAAAATCAAACACTTACACTGATGATAAATGGGGTTTTAAAGCTGTCAACAATGGGCTGTAGAAATGTTTGCACATTTTCTAATAGGGATTCATAGCTATGCTTCCTTAAGATTTTATTTTCTACATCTTTTGAAAGCAGGACTGCATCTATTTCTGCTTTGTGAGACTGAAAATAAAGTTGCTTATTGAGACCAATTACAATACTGAAATCACATTTCTTTCTTTTACTTACTGAATAATCTTACAAAACTGCACAAAATGAACACATCTAGAAGTAACTACTTGAAAAATGCATCTGCATGTCTACATACATTAATAGCTTAGCTGTAAAAACAAAAAAGCAAATGATTTAGTGCGTGCATGTGTGTGTGTATGAGTTACAAATAGTCAATCCAATACTTAATATTTTTGTCTATTGTTTATTGTTATTATTATTGTGGTAACCTACTGAGCATTTGACATTTTTCCATAATCTTTTGTACACAGCTTTGGCAAGATCAAAGTTGTTGTCTCGGCAACACACAAATACAGCCTGAATGAAAAAATGATGGCAAATATGAACATGAAGGTCTAATCATTTCTAAACACAACTTTTAATTTAAATTCAATCAGGTTCATCATGTTTATTAGTATATTTTGGATGCAATTAAATATTTTGGCTACGATGAACAAAACAGATAAGTGAACAGATGAAACATTACCTGCAAGCTTATAAGATCTACTATTCTCTCAGAACTTTTCTTTTTCCCATCTGACAGCTGAAGAGAAGACAGCAATTTGTTGAAGGCAACCAACGCATATTCCAACACAGTTTTTTGGTCTTCTTGGTTGTCATTGTACTGGGTGTCATATTCTTGGCCATCAGACAATTTGCACAAAAGGACAATCAATCTAATCTTAGAACTGTGTAGTGTTGTTTTACTGGCATTACTACACTTGCCCAAGATACCTTAAAAAACAAATTGCATAAAAATTTAATCAATATCTTCACTGCCCAGCACATCCATATGATGATATGGTATCAAATAGGTTGTATAAATTGTGCAATGTAGCATAACACAGCGCAATACACTTGGAAAAAAAAACAGTCCAATCACAAGTAAACACGGGAAATGGTTATTTCAATCACAACAGGGTGATATAAAAGTGAAATATATTAAGAGGTAATTAACATTGTAGATACAACTTTATAAATCAGCATGATTTGATTATCGTTGGATCGGTTGCCATGTAGGCGAGTGGCTCTTTTTGGCAATAATACTGTCCAAGAAGAGCCACTTGCTAACATGGCAACCGACCTGACGATATACAAGTTTCACAGATTATTTAAGTGATATCAATGATATAAATTATTTAGTAATCAGGGCTTTTCCTAGGATTGGGAGTACAGGCGTCCAAAATTACCACCTGTTATTTCCTACCAAATTTCAGGCAGTTCAAGTATGCCTAGAAAGCCGTCATACTTCTCCAAAAATCCATAAGCTGTCCAGCCTTCTTTGCAAATAAAGGCTGCTCAGTGGTTTGGCTATCTAAATGACAACTGGACAGTTCGCTGGGAAAATCCTTGCTACTAATATGTTTTGTTGGTAATGATTGTTTCTTCTGTTAAATTGCAACTGGACTTATTTTTTCCAGTGAACTGCTCTGTATTGCAGTGTATTGTGCAATTTAGGCAGTATACCGTAATAGACACACTGAATCAAATATCATACATAAATTTTAAATATTAATGCATTCATACATAACACACCAGCAGCAGGGGCGGATCCAGAGCTATATACTGACAGTCTTCCAAATTATCTTTGTTGATTCATCCTCCAATTTTGACCGTCTTCCAACATTAAAAATTGGATACCCGTCAATGTAAACTTGAAAATCTGACCGTCTTCTGGAAGACCCAGAAGACGGCCTAAATCCGCCCCTGAGCAGGTCATAATTTATAAAATAAACATCAATTGCCTCAATCAGACTGTCAAGAGTTGTAGCTCAAAATCACATTTGTGGTATGTCAGTTCCTTTTGATCTTTATCAAATGTACACTCACGTAACAGTTAATCAATTTAAGACAACACTGTCACAGTGATTCATTAAATCAATCTCAACAAGCATCTAAGCTCTTGGTGGAATACGACAGTAAGTAATATATCAATATTTCACCCCTTTAACAAGCTTCCAAGCTCTTTAACCAGAAAACGTCACCCAGTGTCTTATAATTTGTGTGTATGCGTGTGCCTATGTGTGTGTGTGTGTGTTGGGGGGGGGTGTAATGATTTAGTAAACTTAACGATGGTCTATTTGATTTTAACTTTTAGTTTTAAGTTAAATCGGTTGTGTACATGATTTAAATCGGTTGTGTACATGAATAAAACACTATTATTACTGTCCTCAAATTACCTTGAATAAAATCCCTAGATGCTGATATATCTATACGACCTTGTGTAATAAATTCTTGCCAAGCAGAGTAACATACAAAATCGAGCAACCATCTGTTTATCATTGACATCACTTCCAAATTATCCGCCATTTTCTTTTTGATTCCAAAATCTCGCTGCTGACGAGATCCCGAACTAATGTAGCCTAGGTCAAAGGTTGATGTACAGCTGATTTATTGTTACGCCGATTCAATGTAAGTTTACTTGTTTAAGTGCAATTCAGATGTTTTCACGGGCTTTCAACTTAATGATTTATGCTGAGAAATAAATTTGAAAATGATTAATACAAGCCAGCAAGGTTTCTTCAAGTTTCCTTATACTTTTAAGTTTTAAAAAACGTTAAATTTTAGGGATTTCACACTAAATTGCTGTCGGCTTCCGGGAGCAGAGCGCGCACCAAAGTTAATTACCCCCTAACAGCTTTTAGTAGGCGGGACAGACATTTAAGCCTGTTAAGCTGACAGCAATCTAGTGAGACTCCCCAGGGGGATAGGTCGACCTAAATATCTGTGGGGAAGGTCTCTTATTGCCATATGAAGGTAGATTGAAGATTGTAGAGTTATTTTTATTATTAGTGCATTTAATCATTATATCAATACTAAACTTGAAACTGATTTGCCATGCATTTTGCAATTTGCAGGAACCAATTTAATTGTGTTTAGAAAAGCGCTTCATAGGTGAATCGTAGCAAAAAGTTTAAACAATGTTTTGAAAATACGCTAATGAAGAAGGAGGGTAGATTGCAGATTGAGAAGGTGTATCATTCAGCTATGCTAATAGCAATTAGCAAGAGTCCCCGCATGGGTGGGTCCACGTAGACCATTGGTGTCTATGAGAATGGGCTTTAGGATTTATAACACATATGCCTTCTTCATGGAAATAAAATTCAGAATGTCAATGTTCAATAAACATACATAAATCAATCTGGACATCATTGAATCTGTTTCTTTGGATTTTTTGTTTACTTTACTACTTGCATATGTGTCATCCTTAATGTCTATATAGCCTTTAATCTGTAGCAGCATATACCAATATGAGGTACAACAGTTCAAGAGGCCAGATCAATGACTTCACATTTGAGGAGGCCCTGTTCTCTGGATTCACAAGTGATGGAGGGATGTTAATGCCAGATGAAATTCCAAAGGTAGATATTTCTATTTTTACTATTGGTCAATCTGTACATTGCATTGTCTAAGTAATGTGTTAAGTAATATATTCCTGACAAGGTATATTCTTCATGAGGTGTAATGGGGTAGATGCATAGATGGAAGTTAAGGGAAAATTTTGTGATAGAAAGTTAAATCTCATTAATATGTAAGTAATTGTAAGTTTTACAGCTGAAGAAGAGTAAATTTATAACACTTTTCATTCTCTCAAAGATCAAGATACTATTGTACAGTAACTCAATTCAATTTTAATGTTCCTCTGATTTAGTATAGCAATATTTTCTGTCTATAACCTATTACACATATTATGAAATTTATGGATGAAGACATTTTGATGATTATAACTAGAAAAGCACTCCGAGAGCACAGATCATAGCCAAGGCAGCAATTTTTGATTATTATTGATTATTGATTGATTATTGATCCGGATCACCACCAAAAACTAATCACTTCTAAGTTAACCCATTTCTGACCTACCCTGAAAATTTCTTCAAAATCGGTCTGTAACTTTTGGAGTTATGTTGATGATTGATTTTTGATTATTGATTATTGGTTGATTATTGATCCAGATCACCACAAAAAACTAATCTATTCCTCCTTGGCCCTCTTCTGACAGTTCCTGAAAATTGCATCAATATCAGTCTATAACTTTTTGAGTTATGTTGATGACAGACAGTCAAACAAACAGACAGACAAACAGGGGTGAAAACATACTCCTTGGCAGAGGTAATAAAGTCTTTGTTATCAATAATGTGTGTGATTGCAATATTGTAAGTGCAAAGTAGGCAGGTGTTCCCAAGAAAACCCTGATACAAAACTTCATTATTATGGTACAAACAATTTTGCTTGCTTTACCTTTAAGTTGTGTTTTCTAGGTAACTTCAGATCAAATCAGGCATTGGTCAAAGTTATCCTATACAGAGCTGGTAAAAGAGGTGGTAGCATTGTTTGTACCTGAAGAGGAGGTACCAAGAGAGGACCAAAGCAGTATGGAATATCATTTATTACATCAAATTAAATTACGGGTTAATTGCTGTGATAGTAGTAATTGTTTTTATTTTATGCCTATACGTGGGTCCTAGATTGAGATCCAGACATTATTTAAGTGTGGATTTCAGTTTGTTTGAATCACATGTCATTGAAAGGTACCAAAAAGAATGTCAAATAATATGAAAAATAATGTAATATTTATGTAAAATGTTTTAGTTAGGCTTCCAAGAAAAAATTACTAGTAACATCTAAAGAAATGTGGTTAATCTCAAAACCATCCAGTTTCTTTTTGAAGTCTTTGATTTATAATTGCAGTGATGAATAATTCATTATTGTGGGCATGTGTGTGTGTGTATAAGTGGGTGGGTGCTGAGTGTCCTTTTAAAGTTAAATTATAAATCTCAAAAGAAGTGCCATGGATTTCATGTGCTATTATGTGACCCTGAACTTGAATGTTATATGACTGGATACACCTATGTACATTTTTCTTACAATATGTCATATAATTAATAATGTTCCTTTACATCATGCATATGCACTACATGCTTTTGGTAGTTTATGTGACTTTTAAAACATTCCCTGCCATTCCTTCTTCTGATTCTACAAATTGACCTTAGTTGTGGTTCAGCAGTTATTTCCTGGCTTTCTCTGAAACCTACAAATAAGTGTCACAGTAAATAGTTATATAGTGACTAGGCAGTGGTTCAATTTAAATTTAAAGTGACAATTTCACAACTTCCCCAAAAAAAGATGTTTCACCAAAATACTGCTTTTCAATATGTCTGCACCAGATGTGCTTTCACGACATTAACATGTATTTTTCATTGTTTCAGGTTTAATAGACAAAGCATTTAGCAGGTTTACACACCCTGATGTTGTAAACATTGCCAAGCTAAAAAATGGTTTAAATATCCTTGAACTTTTTCATGGCACAACACTTGCATTTAAAGATTTGGCCATGTCTTGTGTTGGGCAGTTTTTCAACTACTTTTTGAAGAAGAAGGAAAGACACATGGTTGTGCTTGTCGGTAAGTTTAAACTTCCCAAGGCATACAATGAGCTTTAGCCCTTTCCTTTGTATAGTAAAAAAAAGATTTCTCTTTGAAATTTAAATAATTTTCCAAAAATCAACTGAGTATAACAGTAATTTCCTGTCCAAAATATATTAATTCCTAAACCAGTTTTCACTTCCTAATATAACTTTGAGTTCCTTTCAAAATGAAGATAGGAACTTGTAAATTATTTGCCAAAAGGTTAATGGCTGAACATATAAATCTTTATATTGCAGATGAATAAAAAGCCAAATTAGGCAATCAACAGAAATGTGACATCATGTCTGTGCATTTATCCCAGTGTTATTTTTTTTTTCTGTCTGAAGGCACCTCTGGAGATACAGGTAGTGCTGCCATTGAAGCAATGAGGGGTCTGGAAGCAGTGGATATAGTGGTCATGCTGCCAAAGGGGAGATGTACCCGTATACAGGAGCTGCAGATGACTACTGTAATTGAGGATAACGTTCACGTGTACAGAGGTCAGCTGTTTATTGTGTGGATAACAAACATGTACACAGTATTTTCCATCCCCAGCATTTCTTCATCTTTGGAAAATTAATTGTTTCTTTATATCCACAAAAAATGAAAGAAATATTGACTTCTCTACTTTTTGAACTCCTCTACCTGCAGGTGTATCTTAGAATTTGTACACAGAAACAGTGATATGTATTTATATGATTAATTTATATAATGACAATACTGGTGCAGTATAATTATGGTAAATTTGACCACAGATGCTGTGATGTTGATTGAAAACATAGAGATGAACAGAAAGTTTTGATAGCATTTGTCATTTTTCATACCATTTCCTTTAGGAAAAACATATTTTGATGTACATGTAGATCACCGGCGCAGCTCATGTGATGTCTTTTAAATTCATTTTACAAATGGCTATACTTAAAATCTGGTTAGTTATTTGTCTGTCTTGTCTGTTTTCACCTCTTTATAAAGTGAAGCAAATATTTCCATACTCCTAGGCAAGGGTGTAACTGGAGTGTCAAAACGAAAGGGATTGTCTTCAGATATATTTTTGAGTTGACTTTTGTCCTGGTTAGTGGCAGTCTTTCTTAGATGCAGACCGGTTTTAATGAACTTGGCCATCTTTGCTTCCTTTTCTGCAGTGCCTTCCCATAAATGATTGGGTTTGGACACCAGTAACTGGGTTTCAGCTGGATCACTTACATTCATGGCAGTCAGAGACATATTGTTCCTCAATGCTTTTTTTTTGATCAAATATATGAAAATCCCATTTGATTCCATTTTCACATCACTGATGTTTGCAGATTCATTGCTGTTCAATTCAATTCGCACAGTGACAGACAGAATGTTAGGAATGAGCAAAGGTTCCAGTAAAATAAGCTCAAGAGTCATCCCAGCTATAAACACAGAGAGCAGCACAAGCAGTTGTGTGGCCAGTGTCCAGTTCTTTCCGTGTCCATCTCCTACAGAGAGATGGGCTGACGTCACTGGATATGTCTCTCCAGTTTTCTCTTTGTGTACTGATTTCAGCATTTTTATCCAGTTTTCATCTCAGTGTTTCCTCTCCAGGGCCTCTTTTATCTAGCTTTGTACTTATTATAAACACTTCCTGCTGGTGTATGTGTGCTGGTGTATGTGTGCTGGTGCATGCGTCAGTAGTGGTAACAGACTGTGCCTTTATATATTATGTTTACATCAAGATTTATATGTGACCTCAAGGTAGTTGTTACCATGTGTAGATCGAGATGCAGGTTATAAATCATGTATTTTTTTTCAAAAATTAACTAGTAGCACCATGAGCAGATGCCAGTAGATGTAGTGAAATTTATGCACAGTGCCTTTGGATTATGTAATATACTGTGGCAGATCAAAGGAGTGGGTGTGGCAGGTGTTCCTGCCCAAGGGTGTGTAAGACCATGGCCTGGAGAAAAGGTGCAGCAGGAAGTCCATCCAGGACTCAAACTTGTATTATTTTTGTTTTGAAGGAGAATTAGATGAATTGCTGGTTGGCAATGATTTATTAATATAGATTTTTTTTCATTAGATTTTTTTCTTTTTAATGGCTTCTTAGCCTCTAATAAGTAATCTGCTTGGATAATTTTGGATTTCAATTCTTTGGCAGGTCATATTGTATGAATGCTTAAATTATCACATGGTTTTAAGTCGGGTATAATGTCAGCCATTTAAACAATTTGCTTTATGATAACACAGAATTTACTTGTTTTATATCTTTAAAAAATTGATGTATTTCATGAAGTACATTCAAAACTGACAAGTTCATTTATTATTAAAAGGCAGATTGTTTTTATCTGTAAATCTTGTCAGCTAATTATGCAGCCTATCTACTAGTCAGGGGATGGTTATAAATAATTCCTACTGGGCTACAACTGAAAACTATCTCAAGTTTAGAGAATTTGTAAAAAAAAATCGTGCACACATGTAAATATCTCCCTTTCAGTTGATGGCACATCAGATGAAATAGATGAACCTTTGAAAAACTGTTTCACCGATGCAGCCTTTGCCCAAGAAAATAATCTGTGTAGTGTCAACTCAATCAACTGGTGCCGCATCATGGTGCAGATTGCTCATTATTTCTATGCATATTTCCAAGTAAGGCACAAATCCAATCTTCCACACTTTGTCTGATCCTTCCATCCAATAAAGTTCTCTAGAGTATACTTTAAAAGTATTTCAGATAAATATTTTAAATAAATGCTTGTCCAAAAAAAGGGTGCAGATACTATAATAGATATTGCAGAGTAAAATAGTTGATCAAACAACAAACAGCATTACATTAAGTTTAAATAGGTGAAAGTCAAATTCACTTTTTTGAACTCAATACATTCCATAGTCATATAATAAATATTTTATATGTAATGCACCATAGGTTTGATGTGCAGTGATGTGATGCCAGATGTTATGCATACAAGATTTTCTTCTGTTCTCTCCACAGCTGTGCCCAGGTTGTGATGATACAGTGGAAATAGCTGTCCCTACAGGAGGCTGTGGCAACATCACAGGTCAGATTTGAGAATGTCACCAGTTAAATGGCAAATGATGTTTTAGTTTTTATAGTATGAAAAAGTCGAAAAGGACAGGAAGTTTTATAGTGTTTCAGTTGAGATAGAAGAGAGTTTGTTAATTGTGATTATTGGGACAGTGTTCCACATGAAAGTACAAAATGATGGTTGTTTGTGGAAACAATTTTCATTAGATATACACTTGACTTCATGCAATTTGTTTATTTAGCACTGTCTGCTTTAAATTGAAGTAAAACTCATTATTTTCCATAAAATTAAACTGTTGTGGAAGCTGAATCAACTATAACTGTCTGTGTTGCTGAAGGAAGAGCTGAAGTCTTTTTGTTACCAAATGGATTTTTATAATGTTGCTTTAAGCATTCTGGAATTAAAATTCTTAGTGGCTAATAGCATGAATCTACTTATAGGTTGCCATGTTGTTCTAAGGATATCTGGATATCTATTTTTGTTCCAACATGTTTCAGATATACATGCATGTATATAAATTGGACTAAAAGACATCAAATTTGAGAAGGGTACTTTTGAGATTGATGTTTCAAAAATTATATTTCTTTTATGTGATTTTAGTGGGTATTTGTCTTCATTGCAGCCTTATGTGTAGATAGTAGTAGTTAGGCTGTGCATTATTTTCAGATTTAGCTGGCATTTTTTCTTTCATTTATTTATATTATTACTTTCATTCATATTACTTGTGGTACATTAGTCATCATCCTCTTTTTTCCAATCAGCAGACTTTTATTATCCACTTAGAAGTACTGTTGACTGTTTTCATTCCTATTTCAGCTGGCTGCCTCGCATGGTTTATGGGCCTTCCTATAGAGATAACAGTAACAGTCAATAGAAATGATATCATGTATCATATATGTACAGAGGGAAAGCTTAAAATGCCTTCCACAATGACCCCCTCTCTTGCTCCAGCCATGGATATTCAGGTAAAGGAGCTGGGAATACAGTGAGATTTGTAATTGAAATGAAGTGATATTTGTAACATATTCTGAACCAGATGTGAAGTGATATTTATTATTACTCTCTTGTCTGTTTTAACATCTGTTTTGCTATGACATTGAAAATTTTATATTGTTTTGAGGAATGCCAATTAAAGCTCTCAATATCAATTTTGCATGTAAGTGATTATATCAATTAATGCTATTCTGAGATACTTGTACAGAAAAATTATACCAAATAGTTGGGTTGTAAAATATGGCCCAGAGAATTGGAAAATCTGGCAATTGCATTTTATTTTCAATATTATTTTTACAAATAGAATTAAAAATTTAAATTCAGAATCCATACAATATGCAGAGAATTTTGTACATGCTTAGTAACAGTAATGGAAAACTTGTCAAGGAAATAATGGAGACTTTTGAGGCTGGTAGAGAAGCAGTTATACCAGACGATGTTTTCAAAAAAGTAAGTGCAGTGCATTGATTTTGTATTTTGCATATTAAAGATAATATGATACTAATTTTTCTTGAAAGAAGAAAAGAAGATTATGACTGTGATAGAACAAATTCTTTTCTCTCATAACTGATTTTTTTATAAATGCAATGAAATGATTCAATTTGATCTTTTAAATTGAATTAAAGCATTTATTAGATACAGAATCAGTAAAGGTGAAAATGAAAATACACACATGGAATTCAACTCAGGTCTTTAACAGTTGAACACGTTGTCCTGTTTTCTAGATGAAAAAGATTGTTACAAAAAGTTTTGTTGCTGATGATGATTTGATCAAGTCTGCAATGGCACGTTGCTGGAAGGAGAACCAGTATCTGTTATGTCCACATACTGCTGTGGCTGCTGCCTACCACTACAACACTCTGGTCAAGTAAGTGGCCATTGTCCACCAAATTGAATGTGTCCACATATGATGGTGGTCTCTTAGTCAATTAAACAATAACATCAAATCAGGGAAGGAATTATTTGTTGTTGTTCAGCATCCTGGCCCACCAGGTCTCTATCATCAACCATCGCTAACCATACACCAACATACAGGTGCTTTGGGAATGTGTAGCCTCATCAAATTGTTAGAGAAATAGAATATTTAAATAACAAATATAGGATATTTGATTCAGAATGTTTGATTTTTTTATTATTTAATTTCTGTGAAAAACCTGGATACACATTTATTTCAGAGAGATTCAATTTTTAATAGATATTTATAATGTTAATCCAAATCCACAGAACATAATGATGTAAGAACAGGAAAGCAAAATCATATAGATGACAGCTCATGGAGACATCTTCCGTAATAATTTCAGTTCTGATGTGATACCCAAAAGAGTATGCATAGCTACGGCATCTCCTGCCAAGTTCCCAGAGGCAGTTACATTAGCTGGCCTCACTCCCCAGCCAACACCAGAGATAGCTGCCTTGGAAACCAAACCAACCAGGTACATAGACATGAATAAGGGAGAGGACTGGACTGGCATTCTTAAGGAGAAAATTAAGGAGATCAGCCAAAAGAGAAGAAGTTATTAGCTTATGATTGCTTTTTGTTATCTATATGGCTGTGATTGTGGAAACTAAGATACATTTTAAAAAGATAATTTTAACACTTATATATTTTATATGATTTTATTCTGAGGTGGGCAAGGATTTGTCTCAAGGTTAAATTAAACAGAAATTATAATATAGATCATAAACTGATTCCAATTTTTATATGTACATGTTTTGATTGTGATTTTTTTGTTTTCTGAAAGCAATATTTTTTGAGAGGGTGATTGTGCTTATTCAGATTTACATGACATTGCAATATGTAATGCTAGTCCCAATGCTAATTATAACTGTTCGTTTTGGCCAAAAAATTAATTTTCCTGGCGTAAACAACAATTTTTCAATACTTACCATTGGTTAATGAATCCATTACTATATCCAAAGTTATTCCCTGTTTTTTTCTAAAAAGTTACTTTTTTTGTATTGATCTCTTAAGAGATTATTGCAGAGTATAGCCATCTATGGAGATCACATGGACCGATAACAAGTTTAGATATCAGAATAATAGCTATAACTGCCGTTTTTGTGGTAAAACAATATATTTTATTTCTATGAGTTGTTTACAATGTTTTTATTGTGAAATATAGATCTCATACAAAGAGTTATTATCCCTTTAATTATGTAAAATATTACATGTGCTGCCCTAGCCTACAAAGTCATTTATTGTTGTAACNCTAGATAAACATTTTAAAGTATTTTTTTTTCCTATGCAGATGTTTTAGTTTGGAAGCAATACATTATTGTGTTTATATATAGTAAATTATGACATGTCAAGCATTCTCAGAAGAATAATTTATTCTTTTTTACAATCATCATCATAATTAATATGGATATTTCCGTATTACAGAATGTGCTCAAAAGATATCCCCTAAATGCAATAAAATGTGATTTTTACAATGACATGCTTAATTTTGTTATCATTAACAATTTAATAATATTATTTTTAGCCAGCCCTAACTGACTTTTGTCAAGTGATCCATGGCACATATATTTCTACTGGAGAAAAGATTATGTCTGAAATATATTTGAAATTTTCTCTCAATATTAAAGAAGTTTTCAGTTGCTTGTGCAATTAGTTTGCAGGTGCATGGTTCTGTTCACAGTTTTCAAACTAAAAACTGCAATGTTGCGTATTATAAGTGCATGTAAGATAAAAAATTACAGAAAGCCATGGTTAGTGCTTGGTGTCATTATTATTTTAATTTGATATTTTTTACTGATTTGATTGGTTACAACTGATAGACAATAAATGGCAGGGGTAAAGGTTTAAAAGTCTAATGGAGATGTCTGTGAGGAGGCATGGATCAGTACCCAGTTATTTATAAAATTATTTTTATCTGCGTTGTAAGTATTCTTCAATTGTTTAAGTCATTTGGTTATATGTTTGTAAGTCAAGGACACTAGATTTTTCATTGACATTTATATAAAGAATAAAACAAACTATATAGGAGATAGAGAAAACAAGGATATGAAACAATAAGTATTGAGATATACTCTCTACTTACACAGTGCACATTTACTTCTTAACCCTTCTATTTCCAGGTATTAAAAAATTTCTTAAAATCGTCACTTGAAAGTTATGTAAACAACCTGGCAGCTCGTTCCATAATTTTGATTCATACAACTTAAAACGTTTAAATATGAATTTATATTTAAAACGGGGTATATGCACAATTCCATCGTTAAAATTAAGTCATATAGTTATTAGTTCCTGCTATGTTTATTCGCCAATGGCACTACACTAATCAAGATCAACCGACTAGATTATTTGAAACGTCTTACCAAGTACATATCCGACTTCAAAAATTTTCCGTCGAATTTTTGAAGTTTTTCACAATATTAAACTTGAACTGTGAAGCACTGATGCTGTTACTTTCTGATAGAATTATTTTAATTGGTTACGGCAATGAGCTATATAGTTCATTGGCTACGTGTTTGTCCTCGTATCACAGATGATCTTTATTCCCTTACGTGGATGTCACTCCTTGCTGGGAGCGGTACAAATGCACGTGGTCCGGACACATGGTGTTGACAGGAGTTAATTTTCGGAGCCCATTCGAAATGTGTACAGATAATCTTGCTGATGAAGGTCGCACACAGAAAGAAAAAAGGTCGATTGGAGCACGTGTATGATTAAATGAGTAATTTGCTGATGGACTATGGTTGCTATCTAATCTCTTGGCAAATTGAACCCCATTGGACTTTTGACAGCTTGTTATGTTTGTCAGAATCAGTGATAGAGAGAGTCAACATTGTGGGATAACTTGACTTGAATGGAGAATTTAATACACCACGGGTGTGCGAAGATATGATACCAAATGTAATCCCATCAGCATATTTACCTCCCCCCTTCTTCCTTTAAAACTAAAGTTGAGCTAGATTAATATTAGTTAAAGATGTCTTATCTGTTGTACCGATGTCTAAATGAAGTT